GCGAGCTAAAAATTGGGTCGGCTGTTCAACGATGAATATAAAATAAAATAAGTATGCACGCAAAAAAAAATTAATTTTCTTAATTTCACTAAAATATCAGTTTGAACCTAAATTCTCTCAGAAAAATATTTTTTTAAACAATGTTCCTTTTGAACTATTAATATTAAAACATTACTTTCTGCCTCCATGATTTTTCATTTAATTCAACTATATCCTTATTTCAGGGTTTCTTAAGAAATCTCATGTCAATAATAATTTTTTAAAAAAAAAATCTTATTCCGATAAAGGTCAATTTGATTCTACATGAAGAAAATTAACGAATCTTTTCCTTCCTTCGGGTCTTTTATATGACAGGTATTTAATTCTTGCTGTCAGTAAGCTGTTGCCGCTTTCTTCGATTACAATCAACTATAACAGAAGAATCGATATTTTAAAGTCCTGTTTCCTGTCATTATTTAGAGATCTGTGAGTCGATGTAAGAAGGTAGTCACGGTTTAATCGTATCACATCACTTGCCCTGATGATAAAACGATTGGGAAACGCCCCTCAAGGGTACCAAATGCCAGATATGTCTGCACCCTCAAGCACCCATATGATTAATGGTTGATGTCAATTAACAACAATTTGAAGTTCACAATACAATGATTTATAAGAAAATGGATACTCCAATTCAAAATTAATAACATTTGGAACGTTTTAAAATGCAAGCAAATAAAAAGAATAAAATGCTTGATAAATATACTCGGGGGGAAAATTATGGATAGAAACCAGGAATAAAAACTAAGTTATTTTCGGTTCATTCTAATTGACTGTGATGCCTGTATTTTTTAATTGAGACTATGTGACATTTTGTTTTCGATATTTTTCTCTATTAAACAGGTATTGGATGTAAATAACAGGGGTCGAATGCAATAATGGAAACATTTCCACGCTAACACATTTTTGATCTTTCTCAAAAATGCTTGAAGAATCATTTTATAAATTTGTACGTGTTCAGGTTATGCGATTTATTATACTTATCAATGAAGTTTAAAGCTTTTAAAGACCGACAATAAATTACAAACGGAAAATAGTGTTTTTCAACACCATATGCCAAAAATGCAGCAATACATTTGTAACTTATAGCAATTAGATTGGTTATTATATGCAATAATTGCACAGAATTTCGTAAACCTAGTTTCAAAATTTATGAAGATGTGAACATTTTTATATAAAAAAAATTTCTTTTTTATAACTTTACAAATTTTTAATAATATAAAACAAAATTCTTAGAGCAATTTAAATCTAATTACAAAATTTTTGCTTGAAAGTTTGAGAAAAACTCGTTAAAAACTGCTCAAGATATGAGTAAAGTAGTTCTTTTATATTAAGTATGCAAAGGAAAAATTAAAAATTGTTTTTTCTTAATTTTTTAATGACTCGTATTTGGCAACTAATAAAAAAAATCTGATTTGAATATCTTAAAAATTTGAAATGTTTCATGAAATTTTCTTAAGTAGTTTTCGTACTTTTTAGAAGAAGTTCAAAATAATATGGGGGTTTTCCCCAAATTTTATTTTGTACTATTAAACAAGATTTATTAGAAATGACATCGGCATTATTGGGGATCATCTCCCATAAAAGTATCTTTTCTTTCGCATTTTTTCTTTTCTTACACAATCATATCTCGGTGTATGAACGTTTATTGTTACGTATTATCATTTATTATTTCATTTTGTCTTATGATGCAAAATAATATTTATAGGAAACCCCTTATCGTTATTAGTTTCTTTTAAAAAGTATAAAAACTACTTAAAATTGCTTGGAACTTCCTAAATTTTTAAGGTATTCAAATCGGACTTTTTTCATTAGTTGTCAAATATAATTCACGCTTATGCGCAGTGTAAAAGAACTAATTTAATTACTTATATATTGCACAGTTTTCAGCGAATTTTTTTTTTTTCAAATTTGAAAGCAAAAATTTTTTAATTAATTTTAAATTGCTCAAAAAATTGTTTCAATTTATTGAATACTTTTAAAGTTATAGCAAAAAACCGTGAAACAAAAAAATTTGTTTTTTATAAAAATGTCCTTAGTTTCCTTAATAATTAAGATAGGCTTCCAAAATCTTGTGCAATTATTGCATATAATTACCAAAATACTTGTTACAAGTTTTAATTTTTTTGCTATATTTTTTAGCATAGGGTGTTAAAAAACACTATTTTCCTTTTGCAATTTATTGTCGGTCCCTCAATCCTCTAAAAGCTTTAAACTTCATTGATAAGTATGAGAAATCGCATGATGTAAGGTTTTTTGAATTTATAACATTATTATTTAAGTATTTCTTGCGAAATATGAAAAAATGTTTTAGTATAGAAGTGTTTCCATTATTTTGTCCACCCCTGTACTTATTAACATCTATCAAACTGTTTGTTATATAATGGTTAATATTAGAACTATTACTTGAACTCCCTGGTACTACAGTCCATGTTGGACCATGATCTCCCTGAGAATTTGACTTTAAAGTAGTCTGTCTCGAGCCGCCTCCCCTCTCTAATTTCTTATTTTTAAGCTCTTGAAGTCTCCCTCAACCTCATCTAATATTGATAGTCCTCTTGGTTTTTTTCCTGCCAATGGTTTCTAAACAATAGTTCTTTTCCAAGTAGGGATTTTGGCCTCTCGCCCACCCCCCACCCCCAAACTAAAGAACCAGAGTGGTAATATCCATAATTAATTATTCATATCTTTTTTTAAAGAATATAATACAAGAATTAGGAAATCAAAATACAATGTGATATACTGCATACAAATATTGTAATTCTTAATTTCGCCGTCGACTGGATACACACATAATTCGAAACGTAAATTCTCATGACATACTAAGATGGGCTCAACGGTCAGGTTCTGGTTTCTTTTAAACCATAAGGGTTACTATCAGGTTCTGGTTTTTATATTTAAAACAATAAGGGTAAACCAGTACCAGACCGTTGCGTCCTAAGGTATTTTTATTTAAAATTTATTTCAAAATAAATATCCACGAATCGATTATATATGAAAAATATTGCAAACATTCATTTTTTTAATAAAAATGTGTAAATTCAAATGTTTTCATAATTTGCATTTGGGCCTCATGCGGCCCGTGGGTCACACTTCAGACACGCATGCCCTAGATCAGAGGTCGCCAAAGTGGTCTATATAGACCCCCAGGGGTCTATTTAACAAAAGCGGGGGTCGATCTAAGACAGGGGGGGCGAATGGGGGTCGATCCGAATCGGAAGGGTCGATTGTGGGAACAACAGTTCTCAATACGCAAACCACACATACGCATTTTTTTTATAATTGACTCAATATCAGCTTCTTTATAAAACATGTATTAATAAAAGTATATTTACCGGGGTGAAACAAGTATTTACGTACCACCGCGCAGTGGCACGAACTCAGCGCAGTTTATAAGTCATATGCATATGTGCGCTTGTCCAAATGTCACGTGTGACGAGCATTGACGTTACAAATGCAAATATCATACGCAGTTTCAGCTATCTTTGCAAACTGTGTTGAATATTTGCAGTGTCATTATTAAAACTTTTATAGTTTTGGATAATTAGTTATTGTTTCGATAAAACCATTCGTTTAGTTTAGATATCAATTTTAATTATCAATGCACAAAAAAGAAGGTAAGCATTAATAATATGGATTAGTACTGTCCGCGACAAAACTATAGAACACTTTGTATTTTTTACGAAGATTACAAAATTGACCAATTTTGAACCCAATATAGCGAACCTTGCAAAAAAGCATCAGGCACACCCTTCTCATTGATCAAGAAGCAGTAAATCTTCAGTTTCTTTACTTAGTATATCTACTTATGCATAATTACTTATTATTTAATAATAAGGTATTTGAATTTCAATGTTAATATATTTTTCATAATACTGTTGTTACACAATGTACTATTACTTTAATAAATGTTCAAAATCATAAAATAAATGTACAAACTCAGTATCTAATAGAGTTTTATTTTAATTAACAGAAAATTACTTTTATGGGGGTAGATGGAGATTTCGAAAAATTATGTAGGGGTCGACGATCAAAAAAGTTTGGCGACCCCTGCCCTAGATATATAACTTGAAAGAATCATTTTCTTTAAAATATAACGGTGTAAAAAATTTCTTTCTTTTGAACCGCCTTTCAAGTACCACCTTTCGAGTACAAGAGCCACCTAATTTAAATCTCACATTTCACAGGTACTGTAAAATAATATTGATAAATTTTCAAAAATGCAGAAGATAAACTAATAAGTTTTTTTTATAGCGAAAAGCGTCAATAATCATTAAGGTTAAAGATCAAAAAAAAAAAGGATCTAAGTTGCAGCAGGTCTATAAAAAAAACAAGATTGCATCAAAAGTCTGCGTTGGATGGATCTTTTCGAAAGTTCAGTCGAGTAGCAGCATTAAAATTTCCTCTTGCATCAGTAATTATCAAAAGTCGATTCAAATTCTAAAATTTGGGAACTATCACGTTATTTGAAAGCCATATGAGGATTCGAATACCGCAACAAAATCAGCCATGAATAAAACACAGGGACCATATTGACATTTGAGCATTGTTTTCAAAACAAGCCCCATTTTCTTCGGATACTAACATTCTGTGAAATTCAAACTAAAAACAATTTATTTATAAACAGTTAATGAATGAATAAAGGAAATAAAGCATTTTCTTTACACTCACTTTCTATTTTTCTTTTCTACTAATTAACGAAGACTACTTGTTTTTAAACAAATATAAAAAATTTTACTTTCAACAAAAAATATAATGAAATAAGAACTATTATGGCAATGTGAAAAATATTACAGAAATACTAAAGACTTTTTTCCTACTTTTATAGAAATAAATAATCAAATAAAACTAGCAATTTTTTTCTCCAAAATTTACGAGATTTTTGTGCCTTCTACTAAGATTTCGAATTTAATAAATTTGGTTCAATCTAATGTCTAATTTCCTGTCTCTATTTTAATTTTTAGGAGCAGAATGTTGGAAGAAGTGTTTTGGATAATACTTCAGTCTTCCCTGAGTTCCATATCCTTTGGATTAGTTACAGGTACAGAATATACATTTTATTTTACACTTCTATTGATTATTTGCGGAAATTATCAGGTGGTTATTAGATATAAATGATTGCATCTAGAAAAAAACTGATGGATTGAAATAGCTTTATTTTTGTCTACTTTCCTAAACAATTTGCCTTTATATCCAGTTGCTTCAGGCTTTTAATCCAAAAACTAACATAATATCTCACGATAAGATAATTTTTAATTATGATTTTTTAGATCACCAGGAAAGATAAAAACACTTCTGAAAGACGTGTGAGACAAAATATGTATTTCGCTCCATATATTACGGTGATTGTAGGGAAGTTGAATAAAGATAATTTTCTAAAAATATAATGAAATGAAATTAAAAAAGACCAAAGAATTAGCCCAATTCTACACATTTTACGTTTATTTCGAATGGTAAATAAATTTATTTAATTTATACTCCAAACAATCTGAGGCGTAGAGGTTTTTTTATAGGTTTACAATTTGCCCACCATTTGCCACCAAACTGGGAAGAGTAGCATGTTGTATAAAGAAGATAAGCAGGGCACCCGTGCAATTACTCATTTGAATCACAAGCAAATATTGTTTGCACTACATTGGGCTCCAACACACAATGTCTGGAACTATTACTTGGAACTTGGAACAGACTTGGTTGATTATCTCTTGAATTACTAGACAGATTTTAATAAAATTTTGAATGACTTAATACAATAAAATAACCATCCAATGTTTGTAATAAGTGCTCATGATCTTGTGTTACTCTCATCTGTGCCTTTAGATATGAAACAGTGATCATAGAATCGAACAAAAATATGGGTTGATAGGTGGTACTATCCTCTCTTACGTTACATACGGATCTTGCAATGTGATTTTATATTGGAAATAAGTTAGTTAAGAAGTTCTTGTTACAATTGTTCCTGTCGCAGCGCTATTTCTGGCTCCTGATGATTTTTGGAGAGGTAATGTGGTTTCCGGTTGCCCTCCTCAGAGCCCCTTAAGCAAACTGTGTATAGGGCTGAAGTCTGAGGACTTGACAAGTTAATCCATCTACTGAATATTCTTTTCAAAAAATCGTCAATGAGATGAACTGTATGTAGCTCCTCGTTATTATCCATTTAAATGAAATCTAGATCACTTTTAAAGAGCAAAGACTGAGTATCCATGACTTTAAACCTTCGCCTCAAACCAGGCAAAGTATTTTTCTGAAAAACATAGAAGGATGTTCCCTAGAGTTTACCGAATTTTTTTTTTTTAGTTTCAGTTTACTTTAGTGTAGAAAAGTTGCTTATTGTAATGCAAACAAAAACTGTTTATAATCTATTAATATCTTCCGTTCACGCGTGATTAAAATTAAGGAAAACTTGAAAAAAATCCAGACTTTTTTTTTAAAAAAAAAATAACAAGTTTGGTTTGCATAACCTAATACTTGTTTGATGATTTAAATAACCTAACAATAAATAAATTAAATTCTGATCAAAAAAAAATTTTTTTAAGTTCGCGCAACCAATTTTTGAAACTAATTTTACCTATTTTGCGTAATTTCCTAATTTTTGACGATTTTTCAATATTTACCAAGTGAAGGTAGTTCCATCGCTAGTTTCATATCTACCGACTGTATTCGAATCCTCTCACGAATGTGACATACGGTTCCACATCTTGGGAGTTACAGGGAAACTTGGGTACTTCTGTAATTGCCTTAGTATCAGCATTGATGAGTGATTTAATATCATGTTCAATAGAAGATGGTAAAATTGGAAGATATACCACGCAAGAATTCAAATTAACACAGCATTCCGAAACTTTGAAGTTTATTCTCTGCAGTACGAAATTAATCTTCGTTTCACAAATTCGAGCAGGCCAACAATATCTGTTAAACATTTTAAATACAAACACCTTTTTGCATTGCCCAAAGGACTTGGCAAAACAGAGCCCTGTCCTTTTGTCCAATTCAAGTTGAATAACTGGTGCCAACCGAGTCCTTAAGATGCATATAAGAATCTTAAAAGCAGAACAAACCGTCTCAAAGAAAAAAAACTGTTAGAAGTTATAAATTTTGTAATACCAAAGATAATATTTCCAACTTCGGATTTTTTTCAAATTATTAATTGGAATTCTTCAGTGGTATATATCCTCTTCCACGATCGAGAAATACCTAAGTTTCCCTATCAATTCCAGGCTGTAGCAAGGTGTGTCGAATTTGTAACACAGGCTTCGAATAAAGCTAGCATAAAGCTAGAAATGGATATATTCGAGCAAATCTTAAGCCTAGATCAGTTAGATCTAATTTTACAAAAAAATCATAATTTAAATGAGCAATAGATGTTAAAAGCAACCTTAACAATACAGTAAACCAATGCATCCTACTTGATTGAAAATCTTTGTAAATAGTTCGAAATATACTCCAAATAACACTAAAAAAAATTGGATGTTAGGTTGATAACTTGTAGGTGAAAACTCGACGTGCAACTTCTTTACAGGATGAATTCTGGGTCTCTCTGGTCAAATATATAAAAAGAAAAGGTAAAAAGTGAAAATTATGAAACCTTGGTAAACTTCTACTTTTTTTTCTGAAACGTTGCGTAAACTCAAAAAATTACATTGTGATCAGAAATTAATTTATTTAGGATATTCGAACCATAAAACAAGCGTAAAGCATGTTTGTTTTGAAAGTTTTAATCAACTTTAAGAAAAAATGGAAAATTTAAAAAGGCGTGATTTTTTTCAAGATTTCATTAATTTTAAATACAATACGCAAAAGGAAGATATTATCTGTCTTTAAAATTTCTTATAAAAATTTTTAAATTATTTTTTTTTTTTGTCTCTCTCTAACGAGAACCCATACTACGAAGACTTTTTCCAAACTATCAAACCTCCTCTGTCATAAAATGATCGCTTACTTGCATTCACCATCATCTATATTAGTCCCTGACCATCATAAATCCTTAAAAAAAATTTATAAACGTTACAGGAAGTTTGCTCCACTCCTCTATAAGACCTAAATCTTCAAATTTCTTATGTCTAATATTATTCTTATTACAATAGGCAATAGGCACGGCGTTTCGAAAGAAAAAAATAATTTTTTTTCGTCCCTCTTCAATGAGCACCCATTTGATTTCGTTTTTAAAACTGACTAATATTGATATGATGTCAAAGCTATCTGAGCTTTAAATATAAATAACTATAGCTGAATACTCCGTTCTCCTTACCCGGTGAAAAATATAAATAAGCAATCAGTACCGAACAACGCTACAATAAAACTGAATGAACAAACAAAACAATTAATAAAGCTAGAATAATTTCAATTTTTTTTAATCAACTATTATTAGTTTTTTTTAGTTATTGTTCTTACCGGTGACTTAGTGTTATTAGGTGATATAAAACGTGGTAGTAATTCAGCCCATCAAAATGAAGATAAACTGTATTCAGTCTCATTTGGCATGATGTTGTTGCTCAGAGCGTATTCCAGATAGTCAAATTTTATCGCAATCCCGAGATTTTCTCTGATACTAATCCATTAGAGATCCCGAAAAAGAAAAAAAACTCTTTCCACGGTATCTTTATTAAAACTGCACAGTTTTGATGCAGTTTTAATAGCAAGCAATAAAACACAACAGCTTGCGGCAAATAAATTTTTATCCTGAAAAATATGTTTGCAAAAGGCAGAAACTTTGGAATTTATTATAAAAAATTTCAAAGAATAATAAAGTTTTAATAATAGAGTTTTATTCTTGAAATAGAGTTTTATTCTAATTTTTTTGAATTTAATATTTTAGTTTTAACCTTTTGAAACGCTCACAGCCAACATATCGCTCTATTTCTGCGGGAAGAAAAGAAATTGCTGGCGTATTTGAGGCAAAAAATTTTAGTTTTTGAAGATTTATAACTTTGTAAATTCCTTGACATAGACAAAATTAACTTTATATATGATTTCTGAATATAAAAAATACTATCAGTTGAAAAAAAATGTGTCCGACTTCGGAGAAAGAAGCGGGTACCTTCCCGTAAGCCTTAAGAATAATTCTCTGACGTCATTACGAAAGTTACCATTTTCAAGTAAATGGTCCATCACATATTGCCATGTATTCCATGAATACATGACAATGTATGAATATTATATGATCTTTTCGTATAATCTGTAAATCAGCTTTCGTATATAATAATTTCACAGCACCGTAAACTCATTGGGATACGCTGGTATTAGAGTTATTCAGATAGTACTTCATACCATTTCTTTCTGGTTGTTCTCCCACCCAGAAGAAAGCTATTTCTTCTTCCTGAAGATCTAATCTGCTTTTCGCTATCACGTTTTTGCAGAAGGTTTTTCTCTTAGGAAATTAATCTTTCCGCCAAAGAATGCTGTCGTTATTAATCGCATAATAGCTTCTGTTATTATGTGTTATGCTTTCTACTTCATGAATGGGCCATGTCCGTGAAATAGTTTACCCTCTTGAATAAGGAAATTACTTCTTGGGTTAATTTAAAGTTTTGCCATGATACTTATTGTCAAATTAAGGAACAGGTGGCATTCATTTATTTGATTTAATTGTTGCTACAAAAAAATTGTTAAAAGTTTTTACAGTTTTAGGTTTTAATTTTACATTACATTATTTTAGAACTTTTCTTTTCTTTTTCTGCCATTTTTCGCTCGCTTTTTCACAAAAAAACCTAAAAATCAAATTGTTCTAAGTATTTTTCTTTCTATATAAATTTATGTCTGCAAAATTCAGGATACTTAGTTTTCTAAAATATTGATTTCACTTGAATTTGAAGATGTGATGAATTTAGAGAGAAAAATGTAGAGATATCGTTAAGTTTTGAAATGACATATAGGTTTTGAGAGCAGATTAAAATCTATTCGATAATTTAACCATGTGCTCAAACCAACTTCCCAGACAGTGAAGTACAACGAAGATGGCTTATAAATAGCATTAAAGATATTTTGTTAACTATTCCAGAAACTAAAATTATCTACTTTTCTATGCATGTTTCTTTGATTAACTGG